TGATCTAAGGCCCTGAATTCATTATGGACCTGATCCAATCACATCCCCAAAATGTCCCGTTGCTTGTTGCTTCGCTGTAAGCCCGCCAAAGTGATCAGGTATTAGGCCTGAGGGGTGGACGGTTATCAAACAGGTCGCAGGGGTCGGCCACTGTCGCGCCAGCTCTCCCCACAGTTGCTGAAATGAACAGCTTCAGTGTGCAGAGCTGTACAGTGTGCGCAGATGAAAGAGCTTTGCTGCTCAGGGATCAAACCCCACCTGAGGTTCTGTTTGCCCGTGGCTGGATCTCTGTGACCCAGCTACCCCGCTGTCTTTACTGAGAAAACACAAACTTTAGCAGGAGAGAGGAGCAGATGAAGTCGTGTATGTCTCCAGAAGTGAAAGTGAAAAGGCCTTTCTCCCACAGGCATACATCAGCTCATATGATTTAATTGTACTGTAATGGCCCGGTGTTTGTTTGTGCTGAGTGAAGTGCAAGGCCACATCATAAATTTGAGTTGTCAGTGCAGTCTTCTCTTTGGTGTTGTTTTGTATGGTGGAGGCAGTTAGCTGTGTTACATTGGGTGCGAGAAGTAGAGAAAGTACCATGAAAAGCATTTACTGCAACTATTTTATAGAAATAGCACAGCAGGACGGGTGCCACCGGGAGCAGATATTTCCAGTGATGAAAACTAAAAAAAGAGGAACATCTGTTTTATTCCCTAACTGTTTTATAAATACCCCAGCCACCTCTTCACATTCTGCTTCAGTACTGTGTCAGTGTACTCAACCTTTACCAGTGTTTCCTGAGAAGGTCCACTTTAACGCTCAGCCGCGTCTTGCCAATATCAAATACCAAGTAGTTTTATAGTTGTGGAGAGTTTGGGATTCTGGGAAAAACGCTGCAAGGTGAACTTAACAATAGTCTGCTGCTGAGTCCTGTAGCCAGTGCAACATGCAAACCTAAACTAAAACTGTCCGTATTCTGACTGGTTTTGTGTGACATTCAGTAAAGCTGAGCATTTTTTGAGCAACAGTGCCAGCTGTGTAACAAATGATCCACCTTCAGCACAAATTGGATAAATGATCAATTAGGCATGTTTGCCAGAATCTAATGTCAGACATTAACCTTGAAAAGAAAGCGTTGTTAAGGGATCGGTGGGATGGTTGGTCATTTGGTTGCCCGTAGAAACCAGAAGTGAAAGAAAATACAAAGCGTTGCATTGAATCAAAATGTTTCCTTCCAATATCCTCTGGTAATTAGCTTCAGTAGGTTGTTTGCATGCGCAGAATGTCCATGGTTCCACGCAGCCACATCCAGAACATTTGTGTCAAAAGTGGTGAATGGTTGTATTTGTATCATCGCTGTACAGTATTTTAATTTACATTTTAGTTATTGGATCATCACTGTTGATCTTTGTGTGACACTGCTAGAACATCTGTATGGGAACCACAGCTGCCATACACATCCTTGAACTACAAGTTCAGTAATGGAGATGGGCTGTATTTTCTGTAGTGATCATTCATGTGTATATGGAGTTTAGGCTTTAGACATGATGAACTGGTTATATTGTGAGAGGTCAAAGTAAACATGACTGTGTATTAATAAATAAATATGGTGTATTTGAGCCAGTTAGATGAACCTATAGTCTATTCAGTGCTGGGGATTATTTAAAAATGTTACCAATGATACCACACTGTAAAACTAGATAAGTTAATTTAATAAAAAAAACAAAAAAACATTGCAACTGATTACATCGAAAGATTTAAGAAAAACTAATTCACTTTTGTTAAAAGTTAAACATTCTTGATCAAGTAACTTTAGTAGTTTTAAGTGACACTGACTTAATTATGTTAGGTTTTTTTATTTGTACTATGAAAACAAAATACCTAGTAAAAAATACTTAATCAATAATGTTTTTCACTGAAATTGAGTGTGTGTTACTAAATGTGTAGTATAATAATAATATTTTAGCAATTTCTTTGAGTTAAGTACTTATTGCGTTACAGTGCAAGGTTGAACAAGACATTATCCTGACCTCACTTAAAGGAATACAGACATATTTCTATATTTAACTGAATCAATTGAAAGAATGTATTTTCATACCAACAATTAATAATTTCATCCCATTTTTCAAGCAAATAATGTCTGGTTCCAGCTCCTGAAATGTGCAGATTTGCTGCTTTTCTGTCATTCATGATAGTAAATATAAATATAATAATAATATAATTATACAAGACTAAGACCAGATTCTGTACTTTACAGTTTTTGATACTCAGATACTACAGACAGCCCAAACAAGTATTGTGATTTGATAACCAGTCCTATGTTCAGTTCAGGTTCTCATTGTCTAAAAAAAACCCAACTTATTCAAAGCAGTGAATAGCTGAGTAAACCACATGAGAACAATTGATTTTAACCTTTATAATAAGCAGTAGGAGACAAATGCACATCATCACTTTGCCTTTGGATTCAATGTCACAATAATGCTCCAGCTTTATAGTGGGTCCATTGAGAAGCAGTTAATGTAGAATAATGAAAGTCTTTCATAAAAACTATTCTTTTCACTGTAAAGTCTGGTGGTTAGTGACTGAAGGTACAAAGGTTGGGACACACCGCTGAAGGGAATAATCTGTTTCTATTATCTCTAACTGTCCTGTATGGTGAAGAAATACATGGTATGATTTATCTGTGTAGTTACTGGATTGATTCCACTCCTCTGTGTTCCAGTATTTTAGCATTTGAAGGATGATCGCACAGACCCGATGTTTGTATCCCGGCTTTATGAACTCTAGATTTGAGAGGAATTATTAATACTCTTTTTTAAAAATGCTGTTCTGTTTAAATAAATAATCAGGCCATGGCCCAATGCAGCCAGTCTAGAACGTCATGTTTCTTTCCAGGAAGCTCCAAGCAGGAAAATAAAACACGATTTAAGGAAATGCATTTAAAGAATGCATTTTTACAGACCACAGTGGAGCACTCGCATCTTTTAAATGTGTGGGATTTTTTTCAGGAATGTGATTAGACAGACAGGTAAAGCAGCTGCCCATGTGGTTTATATTTCTGATTTAGCAGGAAAAAAATGACATCTTAAATGTGTAACTTTCATGGTAGCTCCATTACTGGATGGTTGTAGGCCATTGGTCTTTTGGCCATGCTCCAGTACATGCACAGTTGGAATGATTAAGCTAGCAGTATATTCAATCTGAAGCCAATGTACATAAGCATAATTGATTGTGAAATACATCTCTTGCAGCATAGAATTAGAAGGGAATCTGTCACATTCATCAAAATGAAAATAAACATACATCAAGAAAAAGAGACCTAAGGAAAAAGAAATGGAAGAGGGTGAGTCGGAAAATAATGACCATAGTAGGAAGGGAGGAAGGAAGGGAGGAAGTATTGAAGCGAGCAGACAGGTTCCTAGAGTTACTGAGTCGGAGAGATCCTGAATTCTTGCCAGCCTGTGGAATGTCAATTGACTGGAACTGAGAGCCATTGACTCCCTGCCTTCTCGCCCTCCACCCAGACACTTAGAAACAAACTGATGGATAATCTGCTCTGGTTTCCTTCTTTTCTCCTCATGTCTGCTCACCATGACTGGAAGTCATAAGTCATCTTAAAATATGTGAGCGTATCCTTTGCGATTGTATGGTGAAGCTAATTTGGGAGTTTTCCAGGTCGTAGAAGAGTCAGGGTTGGAGCCCGGGTGCAGGAAAGCCGATCCCTGCTCCACACTCAGGGTCGCCCTGACTCGAGCAGAATTCTCTCTTCAGAGTCAGCAGGCTGCTTCATCCCAGCCTCTGTCTAGGAATCAGGAAGCAGAGGAAATCCATCGTCCATTTGCTCTTGTGCTGCCAAGCAGTGATGCTGCTGAGAGCAGTTTAATCTGGGACAAGAACTGCATTATTGTCCTTACATAATGATGTGTCCTCACTTTTGTCAAAGCTATCCACAAACTCAATAAGTTGTACTTCCTTTACCTCTTTTTAACAGGCTGCTTTCCTTTTCAGCTTGTCCTAACCACTTTATGAACTGAATGCCCATTTCCTGATGCCCCAGCGGCTATCTCATTACACTGTATTGACACTCCCTAAGTCCCGCCCCTTTTTGCTCTATGCTCCAATAAGCTTTGGTCAGAAACTCGGTCAACTTTCTCCTTTCCTGTACTTAGAATCAGAATCAGAAATACTTTATTAATCCCAGTGGGAAATTACTTTCGTTACATATACTCCACATGTAATAGGCATACAATATATTAAGAATATAAAGGTTTAAAAATAAAATGTACAGTAACAGTTCTTCAAAACCACAGCTTTCACCGATGTCGCCCAAATGGCTTAATAGTATGGGTACAAGAAGTGACTTGCATCCGTGTAGGATTCTCTATACTTATGTACAGTGACTTGTGCATTTCTGATTGTCCTGTTTGAGGTCAGATTACAGAGAGGAGGTGTCTACTCTCTGAGGGAGCGTTGATGACCACAGGCGTAATGATTTCCTGTGGCTCTGTGTGCATCTGGGTGAAGAGTCTCTGCTGACAAGTCGGAGCATCCCGTGCTGCTGATATTAAACTCGTGTTAACTAATTGATAAGGAGTTGAGAGACAGTATTGTCCAAAGGATCAAGACTGAAGCCCTGGCGACAAGCACTCCTCCTCA